CTGCGTGCCAAGGGGTTAGATATTAACACGCCAAGACCAGCGGGAAATGCGATTCAGTGGAATAATGATGATGGTATGGCGATGTTTATATTGACGTCTGCCATGGACTTAAATCAAATAGCACTCATCGAAAATTGCGAATCAGCGCTAGAGGTGATGACCAAGCTCGAGTCCATTTATGAACAGAAATCCGAGATGACTAAGATGATGATACATGAGCGTTTCTATCAGTATAAAATGTCACCAGCAGACAGCATAGCTCAGCATATAGCTAAAGTAGAAAGTTTAGCTAAGCAACTTAAAGAAAGTGGAGAAGTTGTTAGTGAAACTGCAATAATAACTAAAATTTTGAGCACATTACCTCCCAAGTACAGATCTGTTCGCCAGGCTTGGATGTCGCTTGATCCGAATAGTCAAACTGTAATCAATCTGACTGCTCGTTTGCTAGATGAAGAGGCCAGCTTGAATGTAGAAGAAGAAAATGAAACTGCTTTAATAGTGGCAAAACAAAATATGAAGAAGAAAACTGTTCCATTAAAGAAAACAAACAAAGAAGGAAAAGGAAAGCTAAGTGAAGGGTCAAATGAGAAGTCACATCGTTTTACATGTTACAACTGTGGGAAACGCGGTCATTATGCAAAAGATTGCCGTGCCCCAAAACAAAACCAGAAACAACAAGGAGAAAAGAACATGTTAGCATTCAATGTAGCAGATGCAGATTGGAAAAATAATGATGATGGTTTAAAATGGATATTAGACAGCGGTGCCTCAGCTCACATGTGTTATAAACGTGAAAATTTCGCTGAATTGTATGAATATACGGGCTCTCCGCTGAAAATTGGAAACCAAGAAGCGATAGAAGTAGTTGGCCAAGAAAATATATTGATAGACAAGTGTGTCAATGGACAGTGGGAGACGAGTATCCTGAAAAATGTTCTATATGTGCCAAAGTTGAGAAGAAACCTATTTTCTGAAGGAGTAGTGACAAGACAAGGTTATAACATTATAAAGAAACATACAGATGCTTTAATATACAAGGATAAGAAATTAGTGCTGTGTGCATCTTTGCAAAGCAACAACCTGTATGAGTTAAAGATGAAAACGCTCCAAAATCCAGTGTGTAATGTAGTGCAAAAATTGGACCTTAAAACGTGGCATGAACGTCTAGGGCATTTAAATCTCAAAGAAATACAGAAAATGTGCAAAAACAATGTGATTACTGGTGTAGACTTGTCAGACTGTGACAAGTTTGTGTGTGAGGGTTGTGCTTATGGTAAGCATGCTCGTCTACCATTCAAGAAATCAAACAGAGGACCACAGCAACCAGGTGATGTCGTATACAGTGATGTCTGTGGACCATTCAGTGTGCCATCTGTACAATGTATGAAATACTTTGTTATTTTTAAAGATGCTGCTACAAGTTTTAGATATGTGTATTTCTTAAAGAATAAATCTGATGTGTTAAACTGTTTCAAGAAATATAACTCAATAATCAAAAACAAGTTTTCACATAGTGTACGCATACTGCACACTGATAACGGCGGAGAGTACACAAGCAAAGACTTTAAAGAATATCTTGACTGTGAGGGGATCTCCCATGAGCTCACTGCTCCATACACGCCTGAACAAAATGGTCGAGCAGAACGAGAGATGAGAACAATTGTTGAAAGTGCGCGATCCATGCTTTATGCCCGTAAGGTACCACTCAATCTTTGGGCAGAAGCAGTAAATTGTGCTGTCTATTTATTGAATCGGACGTCTTCAAGCCAGACCCCAAATATCACCCCTATGGAGTTGTGGAGTGGTGTTAAACCCAGTCTAGATCATGTCAGAGTGTTTGGATGCGAAGGATATGTCCATGTGCCAGATCAGTTGAGAAAGAAGCTGGATAGTAAAAGTCGTAAAATGATGCTAGTTGGATATGATGATTCAAATTACAAAATGTACAACCCAATCACAAAAAGAATTACAATATCGAGGAATGTTATTTTCAATGAACAGAAAAGTCCTGAAATAAAACGGAATGAAGCTCAGATCTTTATAGGGGATAACGATGAACAAAATGCTGAAGAGGAGATAGATAATACTGAGTTGACTGAAAGTGATGACAGCACACATACTGCCAATGATGAAAACGATGAGACCTATGAACCTTCGCAAGAAATTGATCTTTTGGATACGGATCGTTCATATATTACTTTGCGACCACGTAGAAATAATGATCATGAGGCAAACTTAATGGAATTGGATGTACCTGTGAGTTACAATGACGCAATCAACGGTAAAGAGAGTGAATTGTGGCTGGAGGCTATAAATGAAGAGTTAGAAGCTCATCGTACCAATAACACCTGGAGTTTTGTGAATAATGAAAACCAGAGAGTGATAACATCAAAATGGGTTTTGAGTATCAAAAGAACTAAAGATGGTAAAGTGGAAAGGTATAAAGCTCGACTTTGTGCCCGTGGTTTCACACAAATTGAAGGGATAGATTACAATGAATTTTTCACCTACTACAAGATATGAATCAATAAGAATAATGTTATCCATCTCTGCTGAATATAATTGGAATCTAAGACAATTAGATGTCAAGACAGCTTTTTTATATGGAGAATTAGAGGAGGATATTTTTATGGTGGTTCCAGATGGAGTGAAAGCACCAGAAAATAAAATATGTAAATTGAATAAATCCGTGTATGGTCTAAAACAGGCATCTCGTTGCTGGAATCAGAAGTTTACTAATTTTTTGTTAAAGTTTGGGTTTGTGCAGTCACAAGCAGACAATTGTGTGTTCGTTGGTAACTTTAATGGCATTAAAGCTTTGTTAATATTGTATGTAGATGATGCTCTAATAATGTCAGAATCAAATTCAATATTAGATCTAATTGTTAGTTATTTAAAACAGGAATTTGATATTAAAGAGGTGGTTCTAAGTTGTTTTGTGGGTTTAGAAATTTTAAAAGATGATAATTCGATTTGTATCAGTCAAAGACAATACATTGAACAGTTAATAAGTAACTTCAATATGAGTACTGCACACTCAAGCAGTACACCAATTGATGTAAATGTTCAGTTAACTAAAAATATTGACAATAAACAGATTGTTTTTCCCTACAGAGAAGCCATAGGGTCATTACTGTTCTTATCTACAGCAACTAGACCAGACATTTCATATGGTGTAAACCTATTGAGTAGATATATCAATAATCCCAGTATTCAACATGTCAATCAGCTTAAAAGGATTATTAGATATCTCATAAAAACTAAAAATTTGTGTATAAAGTATCAAGGTCACGAAAGTTTAATCGGATACTCAGATTCAGATTTTGCTGGGGACTTGGATACAAGAAGATCAACCAGTGGTTACATTTTTATGTTAAACGGGGGACCTATATCTTGGTCTAGTCAAAAACAACCTTGTTTAGCCCTATCAACAACTGAAGCTGAGTTTGTGGCCGGTTGTGAAGCTCCCAAGAATCTTTTATGGTTAAGACAGTTTTTCAGAGAAATTGATATCATTCAAAATGGCACAACTCTGTGTATTGATAATGAAAGTGCAATCAAACTAGTGAATAATCCTGTTTATCATAAAAAGACTAAACATATTGATGTTAAATTCCATTTCATTAGAGAAAAGGTTAAAAAGAAATTAATTGTTATTAAGTATGTGCAAAGTTCAGATCAACTGGCTGATATTCTTACTAAGGCTCTACCTGCTGTTAAATTCGAACGTATAAGAGATGAAATATTGTCATTCATACAAGTTTAGTTTATCTTTGTTAAAAGCAGGCAAATATGAGAGTTTTTTTTATAAAATTTAGTGGGAGTATTGGATAAAATTTTATAATTAATTCTGGGCTGTAGGCTACTTTTCATTTGTCCGTTTACGTCTATATTGTAACGCCAGAGGGCACTGCGTTTTTTTTTTTTGGTGGTGGATTGTAAAACCTTTTACTGTGCACTGTTTGAATTGTTTAATAAAAACGTTTATAAGGTTCAAACGAATAGAAGTCTTGTTTATTATACAATAATTCAACAGATTATACTCGATCTTAAATTTTTGTATAAATTAGGTATATAACAATAAAATAGATTACCCTGACTCTCTCTGACCTCTTATTTACTTTAGATTTACTTTAGAGCAACTCAAAATCTATAAAATTACCAGTTTTCAAAACTCCCGGAAAAAAAATCCAGGTAAAACTACCAAACGACTGTACTACAAACTTCGAAAGGAAATTCATTTGTTAATTTTCGATATAACTTACAAAGTACATTATGAATCGACTTTTTCATTATTGTTTAAACACGGCATATGGTACATCAAATACTTAAACTTCACATTCCTAATTAGTGAGATGAGTAACAAATATGGATGCAATGGCAACTTTGCGGGCCCGCTTTTTTGATATTGAAAATTAAGGTATTTAGTATTAATGGTTTTATGCAACCACGATGCAAGTGAAACTTTTTAAAGTCCTTCCTCGACTGGGAATCGAACCCGGGCCGCCCGTGAGCATTCTACCACTGAATCACCGATGCTCGTTGACAAGGTCTGAATTTATAACAACCAATAAAAATGTAAATGTTATTAACACATTTGTATTTGTCAAAGCCTGAATAAAATAAAATAAATAAATTTTACCAGGATTTTATTTTTATTTAAAAGATTTTAAACGACCACTATAATATATTTGTATGTTTAGCGTGAATTCTGTGTTCGTAACGCGTTGATGTTTTTTGTATGGACTTAACATCTATTGAGATCCATCGACATGCTAAAGACGAACAATATAATATGTAGCGACATAAAAAGTACAAACAAAACTATTACCAGTAAAATGTATATCCAATTGTATAAATCATGATATATTTTACAAGGAAACAGTTTTATTATATACTTTAACAAAGTTAATAATGGCTACCGAGAAACGACACAAATCTTAATCTATGCCTCATTCGTTTTGTAACGCACTGTCTGTACCAAGCTTAACTTTCCGCCATGCAAGAACAGCGCGAGCATACAGCCTACAGCCAGTCCGTTATCGACAACCGCCGCGGACGGCAGTCGCGGTCGATTTAAAAAATAAAAAAAAGTTTACACCTAAAACTCCGCGAGTGTGTTCCGTTGCCGCAAAAAAGAAAAAATCATCCCGTTTTATTCCAAAGTGAGTTTAGTGTTGTGTCCGAATCTCACACCTGTGTTCTTTTTTTAAACCATGTTTATTTTTTTTAACGGCGCCGACTTATATTATGCAACACTTTTCGTAACTTTTTCGAGTTATACCTGTTTATAATCGGGTCATAGAGCCACGATCGGTTATTACACCTATTTCATAAGCAATAAGGTCGATTGTCGCGTTTCGCAATCCACATTTGCGGTCAATCCTCAGTGGATTTTATTTCGCGATCTTTATTGCATTTATTTTGATTGCATAATAGAAAGCAATGGCTTTATTTTTGCATAATTCATAAAGTTGTCTATGCGAGGTGTGTTTTCGCTTTTAAACCTTTTCAAAACCATTTTTTACTCGGTATAATTTTAACTATTGGATTTTTCTTTAATTTTAAAATATTTTCGTTTTATATTTTTGTTACAATAAAAGGCTTCTTGCATTTATAAAAGCTTCAAAAGACGATTTAATAACCCAGCTTCAAAGGAAACAGCTTTTTTTATGTTTTAACTTATACTTTTTTTTTATTTCTCAAATTTATTTATATAATATAACTAGTCTGGCCATAAATACTGTTACATGTTTTTTTTTTCAAAATTTAAACTACATATTTTGAATTTGGAACACATATATTATTGTAAAAACTTCTTTCGATTTTGCGCCGTTTCAAATATTTTTTTTCGTATTCATTATAAAAAACAGTCTGTGAATTGTAATTTTTCATACAATTTTGTAATCGAGTCGCGTTCAAACTACGTCACAGTCCAGTTTATTAAGAACTGCACTTATTTATTCAATGTTAACTTCATTGGATTCCAGTTTAAGTAGACAATAACCAGTAAAACGAGACCTATTTATTGGCACATTAAACTTGAGACGGGAGACCAGAGTGAATTGGTGTCATCAGCAAATTTAACCAGAGCTCCAGTCGAGTTCGTTGTAAAGGTTATAGTGTGTCAATATTAATTGGCGCTTCGCTTTACTTTCACCATTTAAGGCCACACATTCATAATAGACAAAGTCGTGTTATGTGACTTTTTGTTGTTGTCACGAGATGTGACAGACATTATAACGAATTCGATACCAACTACGTTTATTGATCTACAATGATAGATAATCTTAATTATAAAAGTACCTAATTGTTTTTAGGTTGACTTGACTCTTGTACTTTTAATGTTGTGGAGGTTTTTTCGCTCGTTTTTCTCCGTAAAAGAAAAATTTGGACGATTCAAAAGAGTTGTATTATACATCCAATTGAGGAGCTCAATGGCGCGGGTGGTTAGCGCGTTCGGCTGCGATCGTTGAAGTTAAGCAACTTTCGCAGTGGTCGGTCATTGGATGGGTGACCAAAAATTTACTAGCTCGAGCTCCTCCGTGCTTCGGAAGGCACGTTATGTCGTTGGTCCCGGCTGCATCTGCAGTCGTTAGCACCCACCGCATCCGCACTGGGCTCGCGTGGTGGGTCATGGCCCAATCTCCCCATTCCATCCATAGGGAAGGCTTGTGCCCCAGCAGTGGGGACATTAATAGGCTGATGGTGATGATAATGACCACGATAACAAGATTTGCAGAACAGCCATTGCAATGTAAAAAATATTTTTTATCTAAAAAAGAATTTAAACGTCTTCTTTAATCATACAAATATTACAAAGGCAAAAGTTTGTGAATGTGTATTTTCGTTACTTCTTCTCGTCTAAACGGCTCGAGCGATTTTAATATAATTTGATATGGAGTTAGCTGTCACCCTGGATTAACACATAGGCTACGTTTTACTGCGGGAAAATATCCCTAATAAACCGCGAGTAACATCGCGGGGCACAGCTAGTCATATATTCTATTAGCGGCCCGCCCTCGCTTCGCTACGGTGTAGAGCTGAAGTCTAGACTACAGTTTTTGTTCTCAGGCTTGTATTATACACAATGACATTCATCTATCATTCTTCTTATACCTGCATGCAAAGTCTAAGCCCGATCGGTTTAAAATTGACAAAGTTTCATACTTTCATTCCCTATTTAATCCCCTTGGGGGTAGAATTGATCAAAATCCTTTCTTAGCGGATGCCTACGTCATAACATCTACCTGCATGCCAAATTTCAGCCCGATCCGTCCAGTGGTTTGGGCTGTGCGTTGATAGATCATTATGTCAGTCAGTCACCTTTGAGTTTTATATATATACTAGCTGACCCAGCGAACTTCGTACCGCCCTAAAAAATAGGGGTTGTCCAGCGGACAAAATTGTGAATCTAAACCATTCTCAGATCCCCTTGAACACACACAAAAAAATTCATCAAAATCGGTCCAGTCGTTTAAGAGAAGTTCAGTGACATACACACTCACAGAAGAATTATATATATAAAGATAGATAGATACATATATTTGTATGTTTAGCAAGAGTTCTGTGTTCGTAATGCGTTGATGTTTTTTGTATGGACTCAACGTCTATTGAGTGCCATCGACAAACCACTATACATATAATTTGTCTACGTTTACAATGCGAGCTCTCAACTCAATACTTGATTAAGTGATTATGCCAAATTATATCTTTCATTCCGTATTTGTATTGTAATGGGTGCTCATATAAAAAATTGCATGTTATTATTATTTCTTGTAACTTGCTGATTGTAACTATGACTGTTAGTATGATTTTGTATTTTTTTATTTTTAGGCTCCCTAACCTCAATATAATACAACGGAACTCTTATAAGGTCACTTTGTTTGTCCGTCTGTCTGTCAAGACTCTTTGTCTCTGAAACGCGTGGAGGCGTCGAGTTGAAATTGTGCACGGTCTCTTGCAGCTCAAAAAAAATCACACTTTTATTTAAGAAAAACAAAATTGTGTGCACTTTTTTTTTGGGATAAAAATAGTCCTATGTCTCAATCCAGGTAATAAACTATTTGAGTTGCAAACTTCATCCCAATCTGTCCAGAATTTTCAGCGTGATTGAGTAACAAACCTATAAACACACTAACATATAAACTTCCACATCCTACTATGTAATTAGTGGGACAATCTGACAATCCTCCGAGCGTGTTGTGCTTAAAAAAAATTGTGTGCTTTGGAGCACATTTCTGAAGTGAAACTTCTTTTCTTAAATAATCTAACATTAGGCGGTGCGTAAGCCATAGGGAGCAGCGCACCCATCCCTCATATATACAGGGTGTGACAAAAGTAAGAAATAAAACTTTAGGGTTTGGTTGTGTTCCTTGTATAGAATTACCAACGAAAGTTTGACGCCTTGCAGACCACTTTCATTTTCTAATTAAATTAATAAAAATATCGTTTTACACCTGCCTATGACAATAGGCACCTATAAATGCGTAAGATTACTACTACCTAAACAGACCCCCCTCCCTCCCCCAGGCGCCCCTGCGCCCCGCTCAAATACCTACAAATTTTTATTTCGGAACACATACCTACAAATTTTATTTCGGAATTCTGTAACACCTTGTATATATTGTCACGTGTGACGCTCGTAGTGTTTCAGCCTTCGTCGAGTTTCTCCAACTTTCAGGCTCGTCGAGAAGAGCTCGCCTCCTACACACACACATACACACATATATTCAGTCGGGTGACGCTCGTGACGCATTTCCGTTACATCTTCTCCATAGGATTTTTCTTTTTACACCCCGTCCGAAAAGGAGTTTCACTCCCAGAAGTTTTTATATTAACGCATTGGAAATCGACTGTAACAATTCGTGGTAATGATCTAGATTTTATTACAAAAATACAATTTTATTATAACAAATCATTGAATGCCTAAAATAATAGATTTTATTTTTTTGATCAGGCTTGAGACAAGGCTGTATGATAATTTATCCTTTAATTTTTGCAAATGGACAAAATAAAACTTGACAGATTTCCTGTCAGGCCGATGACAACAAATTATTTTTGCTTAAAAAACTTTTTGTGAAGAGTTAATCACAGAAAAGGGAAGAGAGATTCAAAGAAAATGCGAAATTGATGACTCAGTAAAAAATTGGCAACATCTTTTATCAAATGTGGTAAGGTAATGACATAGTAGAACTTCTCATAATTTTCAAGAACGCGACTTTATCAAAAGTTCCTGAGCCTTTTTTCATAGAAATTATAAATATTCAGCCATTTACCATTGAATATTACCAAGTACAGTATTTATATATTGCCAGGGCAGTCGCTCATACAAAACTTTACCATGTCCTTTTGTATGGAAACTTGAACAGCAGCGCCGTAACGGTCGTAACGAGAACTAAAAATCAGTACTCATTTGACAATGACTCTCGCACTCGCAAACTATTCGAATTCGACATTGGTTCGTGCTAAGGGTACAGATTAATCTTAATAAAAACTTTATAAAAAAGGTACTTACTTTTTTTTTCTTTTTCTATATGGCTTCGCACGGTTTGTGCATTTAGCCAATGTCAAGTGTAAAATGTTTACATATTGTCAAAATATTAGTCAAGTCAAAGTAAGTGGCAGTCAAGTCAATCCCCCTTTCCCTATGTTTCAGTAAAAGTGAGGGGATTTACTGGAACCTCCCCGTGGACTTCTTGAGGGAACGTCGAAAGACACTTTCCGCTATTTTGTTTCACTTGCCAACACTTGTGCATGCTCCCGAACACTTAGTGGTTAATAATCCACTATTATTAGACACTTACATCCGCTACAACACATTTTTTAACAAGAAAAACAAAACTGCTAGAGTGATGCTTTCCGATACCGCCAAAAAGTCAATTACTTACTTATGAAGCGAGACATTATGAATTTTTACATGAATCGTCGGACACGTCTTCGGATTCTTTACAAGCTACAAGACTTTTTAGACCAAGGAAGTTGTTATGGATCGGGATCAATCCACTATTTTCAGTTCGTTCAATTAAGGGTGAGGCCAAACGAGCGTAATTTTGTGAGTGGTGAGTCGCAGAATTTCGGTCGCAGAAATTCTGCTGCATTCGGTTTCATACAAATGGGCAGTTGGTGCCACACGACAACGCAAAATGAGTTGTCTGCCGACTCA